ACAACTATATGGAGAAAAATCCTGGAATGTTTTTTAGTGATGCAAAGTCCGAGTCATTTCCTCGAACCGGTTCTTTTCGGACAGTTCGGCTCATTGAACCGGTTCAAAAAGCCGATTCATCGGTTCCTGTCGTCATCAAGCAATAACGTCTCTACGCATTTCTTTTCTAACAATTCAGTGCAATGTTGTATCAATGAAAAATTAAATGTCAACATGTCAACACATATTGAAACATTCAAAAAATAAAGTTATTTGTGTGAAAGCATATTGCTGATTATTACCATCTTAAGTTAATTACCAATATTGCCTAGCCTACAACTTGGATAAGATTCCTAAAAGTTTCACACCTACAGCACACATTACAGACATTGATGCACAAACGTGGATATGTTCTACATGTCTACAGTATAAAGAATGAATAAACCATTATTAACTCCTTGATTTCGCTTAAGCAACTGTAAATATATGAATGCACAATAAACTTTTGTAAAATTTATTTACATCACTTCACAGAAAGGTTTTCGCAGGTTTTAATAAAATGTAAATTAATAACAGTCATAATAAGCATATTTCCAGTATGCGCCTCAGGCTTGCAGTGTCATCAACTCACTCATCAGAATCTTCGGTAATCCTCGGCAAACTTCGCCACGGCTCATTCGGTTCTTGTTGAGTCCTCGGTAATCCTCGGCAAACTTCGACAGTTGGTTGAACCGGCTCATTCGGTTCTTTTTGAGTTGTACGTTCTACTTATGCCGAGTTCACACTGCACGATTTTCAAACTCGTTGGATCGCCGTGGTTTTCACACTGCGTGACTATCTGGGGTAGCATTCAGTTGCTGCTGTGTTCACATTGCACGATGGATTGGCGACAGGGGGTTTCACACTGCATGGCTTCACAATAGGAAGAATTGCCGACAGCTCTGTCTGGTCCGCAAATTAGGTTTCACAACAAAACACACGCGAGAAGTGATAAGGAAATAACGCGAGAACCCGCGTGCGTCAGACCGGAGTTCTCGCGAGCAAGACTGTAATTATTAAAATATATATATAGCCCGCAAATAGTCTGTGAGCAGATTTCCAGCTACAAGGAGAAAAAGAGAAACAGATTACGCAGGAGGGAGATGCAGGGAACAGGGATTGGGTGTTCCGCAAAGAGAGTTGTAGGTAAATAATTTTGCAGTAACTGTAATGCTGATGTTGTGGCTGGGAAAGCAAATGTTTGTGCTTGTTTCTGTATGATATAATTGTTCATATATCTATTAAAATACTGATATTCTGGTCTATAACTCCTCCCCGAACTTCCCTCTGCCCTGTATCGTGGTCTCTCATTGGCTGTAGGTTATCACCGATGTGCTTTCCAGTCAGAACTCATTTCACACAGCGTGATTGTGAATCGCCGACAGCTCCAGATATTTAGCATGCCAAATATTTCGCGGGCGTCTGCGACGCGTCAGTGATTCCCTCAGATCGCGTCTTTGATAATTCACACTGCGTGATTGTAACTCGCGTGAACAAGCACTGATTTGCCTCCAATGTCGGGCAAATGTCGGCGATTTCGCAAAACCTGTCGGCGAGTGAAAAATCCGGAACTAAAGTTAGATTCAGTTTGATTTGTGAACCGGCTCGACCGGTTACTTCCTGAGAACCGGCTCAAAAGAACGATTCGTTCAATAACCGAACATCACTAATGTTTTCCTCAAAAACCTTAAGTTCTTTTCGACTGAAGAAAGAAAGACATGAACATCTTGGAAGATATGGGGGTGAGTAAATTATCAGGAAATTTTTATTCTGGAAGTGAACTAATCCTTTAAATAAATCCTGTATAGTATACTTTGGTCTCTACATTTGAACATTCCATTAATAAATATGAAAAATTGGTGAGTAAGTTAAAGTTTCTAGACTGTGTGATGATTTACACTGTAACTGTAAATTAGTCACCTTGTTGTCACCTAGTTTATCCAAAAAAAAAAAGTTTGCATCAAAGTTTAAGCATACTTTGGGCATTCAAAGCAGGCTGTACATTTAATGTTTGGCTAATTTACAAATATATTAGCCAGTTTCCCAGAAACTTTACACTGCAATTTGTAAATTAAATGGTTGCCTTGTTGTCACTAAGTTTATCTTAAAACTTACAGTAATGACACATTTATGGCATTACGACACCAAAAACAGTTTCTGAGGAAAAAACTTGAGATGTTTTTAATGACAGATGGCACTGTCACTTACACACTTAAACATTTTGGCATTAAATCCTCTAAATTATCATTCCGTGTTTGTACAGATAGTCCTGGTGGTTGAAACAGTGCTAACTAACGCTTTGGCATTTCATCACTGTAAACGAGAAACATGAATGCCAACAGTAGCGACTGCAAACGCATTATAGCTGGCAAACCTCCATTGACAATGGTGGAATGTTGTGTTCATGCTCATTAGCAGCTGCTTTTAAAATGACGCTTTAAAAAAAAACACTTAATGCTAAAACAGTTTCATGAGAACTGTTTATATCCAGTAAATTCTCAATTCACCGTCCAATAAAACGTGTGGTGAAAAGTTAATTTTCTACAAGGCTATAGTTCAGTTCCTCTGGGGCTGGTTGAAAGATGGTTTGGTTGAGCAGACAATGAGAAAACGAGGCGAGAGCAAGAGAGAAAATTGAGGGAGCTCAGGGACCGGTTTTACAGCCAGATAACTCGCCTTCGCTGTGTAAGCCACACACCCCAGTGAGCAGTTTACTCTCCATTAAATGACACAAACACTGACCCAGTGCCTGGTTTCGCGCACAATACAGGCTTCTTTACCAGACAATAAGCTCAACATTGCAGTCCACTGATGGGGAATCAGTCAGCTAAGTGCCATTGAAAGGATTATTGCGGTTCTCTTGTAAGTACCTGCTCTTTGGGGTCCGTATTTTCAAATAAGAAAGCCACAAGAAAAACACATGAAAATATGGATGACTGTCAGGTAGAAAAAACAGTTTTACACATGTAAAAGATTACCCTGATCCTGTTTTGCAACAGGCAGTGCAGAGGAATAATGCTCCGAGGACACAAGAGGATAGGAGAGTGCCGCCAGGTGTGGCTTTGCGCCTTCACACAAGCTCCATTCTGTGACAATCTGGCCACCACTGAGGAATAACACCCAGCGCAGGGAGTGTCTGAAACAACAGCATGTCTGTCTGTCAATGCTGAGCTCCCATTAGCCCCATCAGCCGCTTTTTCATGGAGTGTTAGATTACAAGTCCCGTGGAGAGGATGGTTTGTTTGTTTATTATTGGGTCTTTGGAGCTGACTGCGCCACGCTGCCCCTACAAACTAGAATAAAGACCGATCTTGACCCAACAAGGTGTCACATTTGGGATTTATGTTTTGGAGCTTATTGTCATCATAACACTTTAATTATTATACATTCAAGACAAACCTAAATTATTTATTTTGGATGACTGTCAGGTAGAAAAAACAGTTTTACACATGTAAAAGATTACCCTGATCCTGTTTTGCAACAGGCAGTGCAGAGGAATAATGCTCCGAGGACACAAGAGGATAGGAGAGTGCCGCCAGGTGTGGCTTTGCGCCTTCACACAAGCTCCATTCTGTGACAATCTGGCCACCACTGAGGAATAACACCCAGCGCAGGGAGTGTCTGAAACAACAGCATGTCTGTCTGTCAATGCTGAGCTCCCATCAGCCCCATCTGCCAACAGGGTTCTTTAGGCACGAAAGCTCGCAAACAAAAACCAGGCTGTGGACAATTTTTGCATACATCAGCGACAAAAATTGTCACATGGACTGACCACAAACTGGACAAGGATGTATACTTTCACCTTTAGCATTGCTGCAAAGGGACACCTATAGTGGGAATTTGAACAAATTTGGTTTCTTTACTGTCAGTTTTTTTTTACCAACTACTGTCAAGGTGCAGCAATGATTTGAAGAGAAACTTGCTAAGCAAATTATTCAACCAGAACAAAAACTTTTTTACATTTTTAAAGTTTGATCACTCTAACTGTTTTGTTTGAAGCCTTTAGTAGTGAGTAAATTCAAGATTCCCTTGAAAACACCTGTATATTCTGTACATACTTTGCTGTTAAATTTTCAGAAATGCCACTTTCACAGACACATTTGACTCAAACAATACTCTTTTGGGTTTCAATTAAGCTGGCAAAAATATGGAGATTCTTTCATCCTGCATCCCAACTGCCAGGAATCGTGTAAAGGCAGCAAATCAGAACAGAGCTTGGCACATCGAGAAAGCACTTTCCATTTTGAGTGGGCTGAGGCTAGGAAGCATTTAACTTCAGTGGTTGAGAGCTTAAATCTCCACACTACAGCAACTAGCAGATCAACAACACAGTTTGCAGAGAAAAAATGCTGACCCAAGAGAGATTTGGCAATCTCCTCCACTGACAGACTGATAACCACTGCTGTGAGGAGATACTTACAACCGATAGAGCGGATTAAAAATAGTCCAATGTTATACAGTGGTGATCGGAGACCGGAGACCACACCGAAAATCTGGATTCAAAATTTGAAGGTTTATGTTTTAATATTTGTAAAAAAGTTTTTCTTGCTTGAAACATCTCCATTGCTTTAAATAAAGTAAATGTTAACTGAAATATAAAACACAAAAATATAAAACACTAAAAACACTTAGCCAAAGGCAACATTTCTAATTTTCTAATTTTTATTTAGTTTAACAAGAAAGAACGAACGAAAGAAAGATGACAAACTCACAAAATATCACTAAAAGTTTAACAAAAATGTAAATTAAAAATATAAAAAATTCAAAATATTAATAGAAACTATAATAATGTCAATAATGCTCAATGAGCACAATGGATTGGACTAGAAGAGCAGTCTGGAGATGTGTTTTTGAATGTTGAAGTAATTTTAATGTGCCACGCTGCTTTCAAATCATGACACAAGATGTTAAAACAGATAAATATATAAATAGCATTGTAAACTGATAAAAAATAATATTGATTTAATTTGAATGGAAAGTAAAGGTTAAAAAAAAAAACTTGAATCTCACTGTATTTTTCAAATTGTTGAATATGGGACAAGAATCTTAACAAAAGAATGGGAAAAGAATACCACTTTAAAAGGTACTGAAATCAAAGACCACACAAAAAATTTCTCTTCACCTGAGAACAGCCCCAATATTTAAATACACTTGACTTGTCTGTAACTAATTCAAAGCTGAGCGGCTCTTTAGAGATGCATGTGCCTCGCAGGCCTAGCATGTGGCGCTCTTTTCATTGCAGGTAAACGCTGAGCGCTCCTCCAGCAAACACTATCATCTCACTGACAGCCGGACCGCTGTCTCTTAGACGTTTGACACCACAGCAAGTGGAAGAGAGAATGCAAGATGTGGACAGACAAAAAAAGGAAAAGACTCAAGACACAGTGGGAGGCAGGAGATAGGAAACCGCAGCAAAACAGAGGCAGAGGATAGAGCGTGATAGATGTACAACACCACAAAGATAGCAAGAAAAAGAGAGTGGAAAAACAGATGGAGTGAGGTGACAGAAAAGAGAGAAAGCAGACAGACAGGCAGAAAGAGATCTGCAGCTCTCTGGCCCATAGCCAGGCAGGGTGAGGATCAATCTGTCTCTGACTATGCCAGAAGTCTCCATGAATAATGCAGCCTCATTCCCAGGCATAGTCCTGCCTGTAATTTGCATAGCGGGAATGATTTTACCCCCAGGTTGCTGTTCCGCACAATCACCGCCGGCCTTTGTTTATTTATTTATTTACTTTAGTTCGTCAGGAAGCACAGACCCGTAAGATCACAGTCATTTCCTGACGGCTGAGCTCCCCGTGCCGCGCGGACGTGAGGCACTGATGTCTGAACTCTGCTCATTTGTGTTTATTCCTTGTGTGTGTGTGCATTAAAAGAGAAAAAATACATGAATTGTCTCATAAAGAAATGTCCTGGAATTCAGTCCAAACTTAGAATACAATGTAAAATTATATTCAGCATAAACAAATGGAGCCTATTATTAGGACGATTGAGATTATTCAGCATATTTCGCATACCCAAATTTTCATGACTGCAATGCACATTTGCGATTTTTTTTTAATTAAAATGTGCATAAATTAAAGCATATTTATTTAAAATGTGCTCATTTCTTTGCAATTCACACTACAGTAGCTACTAAGAATGCTAAAGTGTATTTTCAAGAAATAATTTTAAAGTGCAAACAAAAATGTAACTTAAAATATGCAAAAATACCATATATATACTATATATATATATATACACACACACACACACACACACATTACAAATTTAAAACAACTTCTATTTTCCTATATTTTAAAGAATTAATTTTAAGCTGCCTTAAAAACCAAAATGATAGTAAATACTGTAAAATATGATTAAAATCGAAATTTTTATTGTAATATTTTACAATGATTTTTTCTCCGGTAATGATAAAGCTGAATTTTCCGCATCCTTACTCCAGTCTTCAGTGTGGCACTCAGAAATTATTCTAATATGGCGATTTGGAGCTTTTATTATCATAATTCTTGAAAACAGTTGAGATGATTTAATATTTTTTTTGTGGAAAATGTGATACTTGTTGATGAATAGATTGTTCAAAAGAACAGTATTTATTTGAAAAAAATTATTTGTAACATTATAAATGTCTTTATTATCATCAATTTAATGTAACCTGGCTAACTAAAAGCATTAATTAAAAAAAACTAACTATGATTAAAATCGAAATTTTTATTGTAATATTTTACAATGATTTTTTCTCCGGTAATGATAAAGCTGAATTTTCCGCATCCTTACTCCAGTCTTCAGTGTGGCACTCAGAAATTATTCTAATATGGCGATTTGGAGCTTTTATTATCATAATTCTTGAAAACAGTTGAGATGATTTAATATTTTTTTTGTGGAAAATGTGATACTTGTTGATGAATAGATTGTTCAAAAGAACAGTATTTATTTGAAAAAAATTCTTTGTAACATTATAAATGTCTTTATTATCATCAATTTAATGTAACCTGGCTAACTAAAAGCATTAATTAAAAAAACTAACTATTTACTATAAATTTAAGAATGCATAAGTGGATATACACCACACACACACACACACACACACACACACACAGACACACACATTTTTCTTACCCAAACAGACTGATATTTTGTGCACTGTAGCTGTCCTTTAGCTATGCTTCCGTGTAGAATACAAACAATGCTATTTACAGTGATAGCACAGCTTAGCTGGCTTAGGAGAAAGTTTGGCATATTTTACATTTTCTCAAAAGATTAAGTCTCTCAAAGCCTGAGAGCTGAGGTGCAGTAAACCGTACACATACTCCACTCATCTACCTTGTGCTCTGTCAAACGCACCAAGGAGTGAGAACAACACCTGGAAAACACTGATCTTGTCTCAGTTTCTCCCTCTCTTCCCGCCAGGTTTGCTGTGTGTGTGTGAGTGAGTGTGTCTGTGTGACGTTAAGTGTCAGTAAACGAGTATGTCTGTCTGTTTTTGAGGGGTGGAGAACTTCAGGAGCCAGACGGATTAGTGCATTTCTATCTTATTAAAAAAACCTTCAAAAGTTAAACACACCGCCACTGGATTTGGCCTGGAATGCAAAATAAGTGATTTAATCATCGCCTGAAACAGTTTCAAACATTCCACTACTCCAGAAAAAACTGATCCTTTGTTTCTTTGCGAAAACCTCCCCCTTGGCACAATTCTTGTTATGTTTTTCTGGTTAAGACAACAGATAAGAGTAAAATGCCAAGAGTTCAACACATAGGAAAGAACAGACCTTTCGAATACCTTCATCCCCTGTGATACTGAGCTGCATTCATTGAACTACATGGCTAACTGTGTTATTTCTTACAGATGTAAAATGAGATTTCCCAACTAAATTCCTCCACAGATTAAGTGTCCCTCTAAAAGCGAATAAGCAAACCTTGAATCTTAGATTTTCAAACACTGCAGCTAGTCATTGTTAAAAAACAGTTCATCATTTGCTTTGCCCGTTCTGACTGCATACAGAATGTCTTAATAAACAGCACTGATTTTCTATGGCTTTCTCGACCATAAGGTCTACATATGTATCAATCACAACAGTCTGGTCTTGGCACCAGATCTGGAGAAGCTTCTCTGGTAACTATTTAATACAGCAAACAGCTGTACACTGATGGGAATCTCCTGATTATTGATGAACTTCATGGAGAAACAAATCATAGGATGTAGCTCTTACCATAGGAACAAGAGACGGATTAACCCAAAACTTGAAGCTGAAAAACAGCAGTTTTTAAATTCTAAAGGCTGTCTCCCTTTTGGAAAATCCAGCTGATTTTTATCGAAGCTAGCTTTATATGGTTTGTAGCAGAATCAAACTGGACCTTGACCATGATAAATAAAAGGAAATTCTTTAGTTCAAATTAAATGTACTCTGCGTATTCATGTTGGTTTCATATGGTTAAAAATGAAAACTATAGTTGCATCGATAGCCTTGTGGGCAGTGCGTTAACATATAGTGCTACTGCACTACGGGCGTCCCATGTTCGAATCCCAACTCGAGGACCTTTCCCAATCTCTCCCACTCTGCTTCCTGTCAGTTCTGATCTCCCCTCGCAAGAAATGCCAAAAAATAAATCTTTTTTTTTTTTTAAGAAAAATATGTAAATATAATACAAATTTCTCTCTCTCTCGCTCTCTCTATATATATACATTTAAAGATGCAAAAAATGTCATGTGATGTAACCATCAAGTACGGTACACATCTTAAAAAATTTCAATTTTTACATTTTATTAAAAAAAACAAAAACTTTTTTTATACAAATATAATTTGACTTTATGCCAAAAATAAATTATAATTTGGAAATTAAATACATGGTCAACTTAGAAGAGGATAATTTTTGATGTACAGTTAAAGGGATAGTTCACCCAAAAATGAATTACTCCATTAATTACTCACCCTCATGTCGTTCCAAACCTGTAAGACCTTCATTCATCTTCGGAACACAAATTAAGATATTTTTAATGAAATCCGAGAGCTTTCTGACCCTGCATAGACAGCAACGGAACTAGCTATGAGAATATTTTTTGTGCGCAAAGAAAACAATACATGGCATGGTACAAACACTGACAAGGAAGAAAATAAATTGTCGAATAACGACATGAATGACATGAGGGTGAGTAATTAATGAGAGAATTTTAGTTTTTGGGGAAACTATCTCTTTAAATAACTACTAGACAGGGTTTCCATTTAACAAGCCAATAGAAATCTGCTTGGTCGATCATGTGGTCTACCAGGGTTGGCACCAAAGTCAACCTAATAATCCATGTTGGTCAAGCAGGTCAAGGCTGGTAAAGCACACAAAAAAAACAGTCAACATGTTTCAAAACACCATAAAATTCCATATCACCCTGCAGCCCAAGACTGGTTGCCCACTGAAGCTAAGCAGGGTTGTACCTGGATGGGAGACCTCCTGGGAAAACTAGGTTGCTGCTGGAAGAGGTGTTAGTGAGGCCAGCAGGGGGTGCTGTGGTCTATGGTGGTCCTAGCACCGCAGTATAGTGACGGGGACACTATACTGTCAAAAAGCACCATCTTATGGATGAGATGTTCCTGTGGCTCAGTGGAAGGGCATTGCGAATGCAGCACAAAAGGTTATGGGTTCAATTCCCAGGGAACACACACGCACTGTAAGTTGCTTTGGATAAAAGCGTCTGCTAAATGCATTAATTATTATTAAATTATGTTAAACTGAGGTCCTGACTCTCTGTGGTCATTAAAAATCCCATGGCACTTCTCGTAAAGAGTAGGGGTGTAACCCCGGGGTCCTGGCCAAATTCCCTCCACTGGCCCTTGTCAATCATGGACTCCTAATAATCCCCATCCACTTGATTGGCTCTATGACTCTCTCTCCTCTCCACCTGTACCTGGTGTGTGGTGAGCGCACTGGCGCTGTTGTACTGTGGCTGCCGTCACATCATCCAGGTGGATGCTGGACACTGGTGGTGGTTGAGGAGAGACCCCCCCCCGCATGATTGTAAAGCGCTTTGGGTGTACAGCAATACACAATAAAGCGCTATGTAAATGCATAATTCATTCATTCAAAACAAGCTTGACAACCTTAAACTGGCATGACCTGGATTTTCCAATAGGGTTGGGTGATATTTTCAAAGAAATATTTGGAACAGCCTTCGAAACGGCGTGTTTTGATTGTTTTAGATTTCAAGATACATGGGTGCAAATTTCAATTAGAATTTTTTTTTTTTAAATGATAAAAGGACACTAATTGCAAACTAGGAACTTCACACTCTCAAATGTCACATTGGTCCATTATAAACCACAGTAAATGTAGAGGACATAACAGGAATACTTAAAAATACTTTCAGAATGACTCAGTACTACACTCCACCCACACATGTTGGGAAAACATTTTGCCCATTTATGCCAGTCTAACACCCATAAACTCTTCACTCATTTTAACCAGAAGTCAGCCTGTAATGCTCTAGTCTCTGGGTCGAGTGGACCAGTTTTCATCAAAAGTAAGACAGTGAATGAGTCGTCTTGTGTTGAAAGGAGTTGGAGTGTGATATGAACGGTTCAGATGGAAAAGCAGATGAAATAGCTCAGCCGAGAGTGTGATTTAAAAAGGCTCTGTTCAGAATGAAATCGTCACCCTGTGTGAGGAAATGACTAGAGATTGCACAACGTTGGGTTAAAAATGAAACGAAAAGTTTAAGCTTCTTGGCTGCAACGGCCTCATTTCTATGATCAGGTCGCTTGAGTCCCAGATTTCCCAGAGCATTAAACTTGAATATGAATAACTACTTCGTATCATCCTTTTTTTTTTTTTTTTTTTTCTTCATGTAATGCAAACATCACTATTACAATTGCTCATACTTAGAGTTTGAACAAACCCCGAAAGTTAAGCATCAAACTTGGGTGCATAACTCATCTCACTACAGAAATGAATGATATCTCTCATCCTGTGGTTTATTTCAGGAGAGGTGCGCTATACTTTTTCAAAGTGAGCAGTCTTATTTACAGTTTTTTACTTGATAGATGATAAAACATAGGATAAAATATAAATCTATGAGATTTTTTTCAATCTAGAGACAAAGTCATATGTCACTGCATTTTTGGAGAGTAGTACCACATGACATTTTGAAAATGTATTAACTAAATTTTATTTATTTATTTTTGCATGCTTCTACATGAATTTGTTGGCTGCACCATATGATTTTGACATGGAGGACATAAAAAAATACTCTATTACTGTGTAGTGAAGCACAGAAAATATATAAACAAATAAATCAAGTAAAATATGGCAAACTATTTTCCCTCAAGAATTTCATTATTTTATTTCATTAGGATTATTATGATACCAGGACAGCTGTAGCTCGCACACACACACACACACACACACACACACACAATTTTAATATAATTTTACAATTATTCTATTTAAAAAATGAAGGGATTTTGACACTTTTAGAAAATGAAAATATTAATTTAGGTAAACCTTTACTTTTTATAAGTACACACACCTAACTGCTAACTGGCAGAACATTTTATTATCAAAATAATTAATTGCTAGCCAACTTGAAACTGTTTTTACATGATTTTTCTCACACATCTCGGCAGCTCGTCTACGCTTTGAAAACCAATCTATGATATAAAACAGCTGATGAAAGGAAGGAAACAAAACAATTCTGTGAGCAGACAGAAAAATATGTGATGCAAAGTATGATTCATTAGCAAAGTGACAAAAGAAACACCGCAAGCTCTAGACATCTCATCTCCACATTATTATAGGCTGATAAGAGGTGCTTTTAATGCAGGAACCAATTACGAGGAGCGACTCGGTCTGATAAGCCATCGGCTCGAACATCCAAATACTCCGACAGTGGTATTATATGATGAATCAAACAACGAACGCCAATGCAATCTTTTCTGTCCCCTCCGCAATAACCTCAGATGTTACGAAGATAAAAAATGCACCGCTAACAGTGTTGCAACAATGCGTCAGGACAGAAAGTATACTCCACCATCTACCCCGTCATTCGTTTTTTTTTTATATCTCTTTCACTCTATCCTGTCCTTGATGCGTGTCATCCCGCTACCTGCTGCAATGCCACACTTCCTGCATTCCAGCACGTGGTCAGTCATGCAGAACGCAGCGCCACCAGGACTCAAAGTCACAAATGATTTCCCAACATGTGTTCTGCTGGGTTATTAATAAATGCGGTGGCACGGAGCAAGGCCCGGCTCTGGGCAGGAATGGCACTAAAAGGACTCACACGGACTGGAAATCAACAGGCCCCAAACAGAAGTGCATCTGTGTGTGTTCTGTGAGGCTGGATTGCACAACCCATCGCAGAAGGTGATCTTTTCGCCCCTATGAGCGTTATGGGAAATGAGCAGGAAATGGGGGTTACCGCAGATTGGGAGACGTGGCCCTGGAAGAATATCAGACCATATGGTATAGTGCTTTGCCATTACACAACAACAACAACATGGATCTATTCGCCATTCTGGCCTCTGAAAACGAGACTCTGGTGTCTCAGCTAGTTGTGGCCATCTGAGTTTGAGGGTTGTGTTTGAGGGCCATTAGCACATGCTATTACATTTAAGGTTCAGGTCAGGGCACTCCACCAAAGAGAAAAAGAGTGACACGCAGCCACTTTCCTAAGCAGCAATTAATCATTAAAAAGTTGTCTTTTCTACTGAGTATTTGAATGTTTTAATAGCTCAATTTATTTCTAATTGTGCATTTATTCATTTTAATGCAAGCATCAGTGCATTTTATCACTACAAACATACCATGATAAACCATGGTGTTACATAACAAAAAAAAATAAATAAATAAAAAAAATATAAAATAAATCTGTCTATATATATAAATAAATAAAACACACACACACACACACACACACACACACACACAGTATATCTAAAATTATTAATTTTATTTTTGGCCCTTTTATTCAGAGTTCAGTATAGTATCATGGTAAAGTACTACACTATAGTATATATATATATATTATACATTATACATATTATATAGTATAGTATAGTATAGAGAATAAAGGATATTTTGCCAGAAAAGGGGGGATGTGATCAATAAATGCTATAAGTCATATTCAATAGCAGTTTTCATTTTAACTTTAATTCCAAATTGTGTTTTTTATTAGATGTGTTCGTTAAAAATATTTATATTTGTTTTCTTTTATTATTGTATTCTTATATTTCTATATCTATTATTTTAATTCTACATTTTACTTTTAATATTTAAAATGCATTTTATTTCAGCTTTGTTTTAATTAACTAGAATTACAGTTTTTGGTCATTCTGTTTTAATTTCAGTTACATAACACTGTTTGATAATGAATCTAATTGATCTAATATCTCATTTATAATATTAAATCAGTAACCAACCATATGGAATATTCAGCAGTAGAAATATCAGAAGTAAAATGCTGGTAATTCACAATCAATTCTACACATCCCCCAACTTTTGCATATTCATTTTTTTTCTTTTTTTCTTTTTTGCTAATGAATTTTGATAATGCTAATTGGTTTAAATCCAATCCGCAAATTTATGCACACTTCCCTCCACAATCAGCACAGAAATGCAAAACAAATCTGCAGATTCAGACTGAGATTGACTTTAACCAAAATAATTGCCAGCTATCATAATGCATTAAACTTCTACAGACTCGTACAAATCGCTCCTGTCAGGGACATACTAAGTGTAGCAAAGCAGACACTGTATTCCTTCAGAGTAAGGAACATAAAAACTACCAAACTGTCAAATAAATTGCTAACCTTAATAAAACAAATTGAGTAAGGACTGGTTTGAATGTCCCGCGTTCATCTATTCATCAACATTTTTTTATCCTTGACGCTTATGAGAGAGGAACACAGCATGCAGAAAGTCGCATGGAAAGAAATCCCTCTCAAATCATTTTTCAGAGACACAGCACGCGCTCTCTCGTGCACACACACAGACAAACGCACACCACACACACACAAAAAAAAGCTGTGGCTGGAAAAACAAAACAACACACTGAGTGAATTAATCATTTCAATAAGAAGCCAGTGAGTGGCTCAGTGGAGGCAGATCAGCTGATTGTCGTCGTGTGAGCGCTACATCCCCGGCTTTCTGTTTTCTTTGCCACTTTCCTCTCGCTTTTTGGCAAGGCGCCCCTTCATAATCTTTCTCCCTCAGCGGCTCTCTAATTGAATCTGTTTAATAAAACATTCCTCTAATTGCCATGTCAGATCTGAAGCACTGTATGACCAACAAAGGCGCAAGCACAGATACCTGCTCTGAATCACCCTGTTTAGACCAATAAGGCCTCGCATAATTCAGTTTAGCACACAGATAACCAGCAAACTTAACCCTTTCAGTGCCGTGTTTCTTCAAACATTGGAAGATGGATGATAAGCTGAATAGTTTTGCGGTAACGAGGGCTCTCCATCACTGACAACCGCACATGCAATGCTGTTACCCAATTAGGGTGCTATGTATTCCAATTAGAATTTAAGATTAAGATCAGTGTGTCCCAAATCAGAGTATGCTAAAAATAGTATGTCAAAGGTTTCGGATGTTGTACTAATTCTGTCGGATTTTCAAAGACTGCAGCTGTTATGCAAATTAGCTAATTTTCCCCCCAATTCCATGCGCTACAGAAGAATAGCTCGACTGTGTTTAGAATACAGCTCTAGATTAGTACTTAAGATTGTGCAGTATATGGCGCATTTAAGTCATATATTTATGAGCTGAACAAACATGAACAGCACCAGTTGGGTTGGGAGCAAGTCATTTATAAAACATGGTGGACATAGCATCTGTATTGGAGGTACATTTGTTGAAATTAAATGAATGATCATTTTCGTTTACAATAAAATTAGCTACGATGCATGTATACAATACAATAGTTGTACAATTAGATTTGATAAACTGTAAATATAATTTTCTCCAGTTGATTGAGCCCTCTTCAAATGGATTTCTGTCTTTTGCAAAACACAAAAGGATATTATAAAGAACGTTTCAAATGTTTTTCTTTACACAAATAAAACCACTGGCTTCATTGACTGGCTAATATACCAATTATAGGTTTGTAAACATTCAGGATGCACGCGCATCATGGTTGCAGAAAACCCGGGAGAGATAGCCTTTATGGCTAGAGAATTTCACGGATACGGTACAAAATAGTTAGGTTTAAAAAGATTATAAATTATATTGATTAGATGTAATTTTCAAAATGTTCTCCGCATAATACAAGAGCTTGTCACCCAGCGATAAGCACTGTTATTCAACGAAATTGACTTAAGAGAGTGGGATAGTCTTACAGATCTGAAACAGAGATGTTTTTTGTGGGCGGAGCCTATCTGGAGGCAGAAAATGACGGTTTTCAAGTGGCAGTCTATGGAGCCATGGAAAAAAAGAATTAAAAAAAGGTAAATTTGATTTTATTTTTCAAAATTCTGACTTTATTCTCGCAATTCCGAGATTATATCTCACAATTCTAATAAGGAAAAACAACTCGTCATTCTCTCTTTTCCCCTCGGCTCTTCTGGCTTTTTTCCCTCAGATTTGACAAACTCTTTTGAGTTAAGTCGAGGTATAAAGTCAGAATTAGGAGATATAAACTTGCATTTGCAAGAAAAAAAGTCAGAATTGTGAGATAAAATAAATAAATGTTATGTAAAAATGTTAATAGTAAGGTTTAAATAATATTTCATGCTGTAACTGTAGGGCTAATACAATACGTCCCCTATGAACAGCATATGTGAATATTATGTAGACCTATTGTTTAAATCGAATTTATGCTTTAAAAGTAGAATAATCATAGCAGTTTTCATCCATAGTATGTCCATTTAAACGTCTGCGTTTAGCTTCAAATGGCGTCTTTGACGACAGTATTCTATAAAAATTATTTGCATTCCGATCTTGACATCAAAAGGCACAAAAATATATTTTTCTTTTATTCCATGGATTTTACCCCTTTACCTCCACTTGGTCCCAGTGTTTTTCTGCAACCACTATGTGTGCGCAGCTGCAAGTGACGTAACTGTGACGTCTACTCTAAATTGGTCTATTAAACCTAATTAACTAATTAACCAACTAAATGTAAAAAATGCGGCATCTTTTAAAATTATTTCTTGTGTTCCATGGAAGAAAGTAATGCATACAGGCTTTGTATGACCTGAAGGTGAATTAATGATGGAATCTTCATTTTTGGATAAGCTATGCCTTTAAACGTGCTTGCTTGACGCGTGAGAACCAATGCGTTTTTTTCTTGTGCGTCAAGCAAATAGAATTGACCTCGTTTACCATATTTTATATATTCTATGTATTTGTGTTGATGAATGTTTATATGTGAATAAAAACCTAAATTATATATTTTCATCATATAGAGCAGCGGTGTCTTTTTAGATGACTTGGATAAAATCGCTTGACTCATATGGATTACTTTGACAATGCCTTATTGAACTTTTTGAAGCTTGAAAGTTTTGGTTGAATAGACCTTCAATGGTGGGACAGAAATCTCAGGTTTCATTTGTTCTTCAAAAATGAATGAAAAACGTGTGGGTTTGGAATGATGAGGATAAATAAATGGTGACAGAATTTTTATTTTTTGGGTGAACTATTCCTTTAAGATTGCAGTCAATATCACACTACGAGTATTATTTCTTTTAAGAGGGGCAGACATAAACTCCCACAAGAGGCCTTTCAAAAATGTTACATCACTGCTTTTACCCAGTTTTAAGGAGAAAAGACACAATAAACAGGCTGGGTTGAAAAAAACAATTAATTCTCAAGTAGAAACTAGAGAAATGTTGAAAGAAAATGAGTTGCGATTCTATGTATTTGTGTTGATGAATGTTTATATGTGAATAAAAACCTAAATTATATATTTTCATCATATAGAGCAGCGGTGTCTTTTTAGATGACTTGGATAAAATCGCTTGACTCATATGGATTACTTTGACAATGTCTTATTGAACTTTTTGAAGCTTGAAAGTTTTGGTTGAATAGACCTTCAATGGTGGGACAGAAATCTCAGGTTTCATTTGTTCTTCAAAAATGAATGAAAAACGTGTGGGTTTGGAATGACGAGGATAAATAAATGGTGACAGAATTTGTATTTTTTGGGTGAACTATTCCTTTAAGATTGCAGTCAATATCACACTACGAGTATTATTTCTTTTAAGAGGGGCAGACATAAACTCCCACAAGAGGCCTTTCAAAAATGTTATATCACTGCTTTTACCCAGTTTTAAGGAGAAAAGACACAATAAACAGGCTGGGTTGAAAATAAAAATTTAATTCTCAAGTAGAAACTAGAGAAATGTTGAAAGAAAATGAGTTGCAAAAGTTATGCCCCTGAAGCCACAAACAAATCGTCAACAGCATGGGGGAGAAAGAGCGAGAGAAGGAGATGCACATTAATGACGAAAAGTAAAACGAGCAACTATTTATTTCACACAGTCTGCCACATACACTGACGTAAGACTACAGCTTTTGCGTTAAAACAAACTATAACATTTTCCATAAGATTCATCTCGTAAAGTCAGTCACACATCCTCTCTCTTTTTGGCACATACATAGATTATCACATTATCACACGCATTCACAGCTGTATGAAATTCTGCAGCAGTATCCCATTCTACAGTAG